TCTCATGAAGGATGGCAAAATTGAGGTCCAGAAAGGAATCTACTCCCTCTCTCCAGGTCACTTGGATCTTACTCCTGGGTTCCAGTCTCATATTCCCATGCCACTGCTATTTCCACCTAAATAGACTGCTCTTTTTTGCTTTGGGCTCATATATTAATCAATCTAGAACTTGGAATAAAATTTCATTGGGAGAGTGATACAAGGTGTAGAAGGTAGACGTATGAAAACAGTATAAAGTGTGAGACCAGTGTGGCCTTCTCTGTCACGTCCTGTCTTCAAGGCTCTGTCCTGGGCTCACATTCCCTTCCCATCCATTTCCTGCCCTTGAGAACCTCATCCTCTTACACGGTTTCTGTTACTTCAGCACCTTGTGAAAATGACTTTCCAATCTAACTCTCAAAGTCCCAGAACTAAATATCTAGCAGCTGAATGTACATCGCCACATCGCTGCCTTGGGTATTATTCAGCACATCGTAAGCTGACCTCAACATCCTCTTCAAACCTGCTGTCCCTCCTGATTCCCCATCTCAGAAATGCCAGGGGCTCAGCTCTAAAACATCTTGGACCGTTCCCTCCCAGCCTTCTCACCATCCACTTCATGTAATCATCAAAGAACTACAATAGTACTTACCACTGACTAAGTATAATATATACAAGTATTAAAAGTATTAGAAACACCTGCAGAAAAATCTTCATCATAATATACTTCCAGTTTTAATTTTTTCTTAGCTTCTTACACATTTGAAACCTAATTCTATTTATATTATTGGGATCAAACATTAAGCATTTTATATACTTTTTTAAAATTAGCATTACATAATGAGCATTCTAATATTGGAAACTTTAATAAACATTTTATTGGATACATAATATCCCACCTTATTAATAACCAAAATATATTTCCTTTTTTTCCAAATATTTGTTATTAAAATACCTCCCCCCTCACAATCTTTGCTCATATCCTTTAGCCCCTTAGGATAAATTTTTAGAATTCTTTTAAATAAATGGTTTCTATATTTTTTAAACTACAACTACATACTACTAGGATGCCTTCTGGAATGGTTTTGCCAATTTACCTTCCCACTAGTAGTTTATATATTACTTCAAGTCCTCACAACCCTAAAAAGTAAGTACTTGTAACACACAACACACACACACACACAGGCTCTTTTGTCCGTTTCCTACCTTCTAATTACCTTGGTTTAGGATACGAAACTCAGCTCTCTAAAGAGCATGCCTTGATCAGGCACTTAATAAAAAGCTAGGCCTGAAACAATGATTAGAAAGAATTAACAACATGAATAATCATTTTTTATCCATCATTATCTTCCCTGCACATAATAAAATAAAGTCTCAGCTCCGCAACAGCATTCAAAGTCAACCCCTGCCCCACTCCAAATGTCCCCCTGGTGATTCTCAGTGCTGGCTGTACATCAGAGGCACCAGCATTACTTTTATAAAGTGGAAATGGCCAGAACCCAAACTCACAAGTAATGTCAAGGGTGTCTCTTTTGAAAGTTCCACAAGTGATACTGAAGCATGGCCAGGATGGAGATCACCTTACCTGCCTGAGATTTTTAAAACTTGTTCCTTTCTTTTTGACCTCTGTAACTTTGCCCAAGCTTTTAATTCAATCCAGAATTTGCTTTCTCCTTGAAATTGCTAGTTGCTAAAGGTTAATATCCAAACCTTTAGGAAGGCTGGTCTAGCCAGCTCCCTTTTTTCATCTGGGGTCAAGTGACACTCTATCAATTTTTAAACAAGTTAATCAGTTACATTTACAATAACTACTCAAAGCAATCTCCATCTACTATAGTTTAAGTTCATCTTTATATCCCCCAAGGTGCACACTGTAGATCTTCCTATGCTCTAAGCACTCAATTAATGTCTGCAGAATCAAAATGCTTTTCAATCAACAGATAAAGATTTTCAGTCATACTCAATCTGACCCATCACTATTTTTTCAGGACCTGACAACACTGGTGGTGTACACTCACTAACCACCTTTTCCTAAGTTCCCAGAACCTAGCTGAAATCAGCGTGGTGTGATTTCCACATTCACCACATTACAAAACCACATCATTTTCATATTTAAATTCCCAGGACCCCTGAAGAGTTTACCAGGAATAGGCTTTGGATCTATTTCTCTAATGATAAGGTAGTTATTACCTGATACCATGTATATTGTCTTACTGAAAAATATTTTGTCAATAGGAATTTCATTATCCTTAACTAAGTAACCAAAAAATTAATCTAATGCATGTAGTAGTTATTGACAATGGCTAATCTAATTTAAAAATCACCTTGTAGCTCAGCCGGGTGTAGCTCAGCGGTAGAGCGTCGACCTAAGAACCAAGAGGTCACAGGTTCAATTCCCAGTCCGGGCATATGCCCAGGTTGCGGGCTCGATCCCCAGTGGGGGGTGTGCAGGAGGCAGCCAATCAATGATTCTCTCTCATCATTGATGGTTCTATCTCTCTCTCCCTCTCCCTTCCTCTCTGAAATCAATAAAAATATATTTTTAAAAAACTTCAAAAAAAATCACCTTGTAACCCAAATCTTTAGAAATATATTATTTAATTAACATATATTTGCCATGATCAAATAAATATGGTAGTACTACTTGGCATAATGATTCTTCCCTTTTTGGGAAATCTCCCTTGTAGTTCTATAAACAGGAATTACCATATTTCTGTTTTCTCTCTTTTTTTTTTAATCCTCACCCGAGGATATTTTTCCATTAATTTTTAGAGAGTCAAGAGAGAAGGAAAGACAAAGGAATATTGATGTGAGAGAAACACATTGATTGGTTGCCTCCTGCAGGAGCCCTGACCAGGGCCAGTGGTGGGGAGGAGCCTCCAACTGAGGTATGTGTCCTTGACTGGAATCGAACCGGGGACCCTTTGGTCCACAGGCTGATGCTCTACCCACTGAGCAAAACCAGCTAGGGCCATATTTCTGTTTTCTAATTATTATACCAAAGATTCCCATATGAATTTCAGGAAGAGTGAATAAATTTCACTGAAGGGTGGAGAAAGGGGGAACTGGTTTCAATCTCTATAGAAGTTTGACTCTTATTTATGGATCTTGGGAAAACAAGCACTTAGAATGACTTCTTTATTTGTGGTTAGACAGAGCCCATACTGTGTATATAACTATCTTTATAAAGTGAGATAATGTGTTCCATGAATTAGTATGTATTATTTGCACATGAAGCCTGGGCCAAAGAAAGACATGCATACCTGTTGGGATCTTGCAGCAAATCTACTGCTTCTCTCAGCTGTTCAATCATTGCTGTAGTCATTTCCTGGTCTTTAGATGAACTTGTTCAGCAGCATGAAACCGGGCATGAGAATGAAAACCATCACAGAATATGAATATCATCTAAGTTTTTAAGAGCAAAATTACAAAAATCCATCTAACATATAAAAACTGATTTTGACCTGGCTCTCTGTGACCTTTGGCAAAATAATCTTTCTGTGCCTCAGTTTTGTCCTCTGGGAAATGGGGAACAACAAATAGAACTTAATAGGATTGTTTTAAAGGTGAAATGGGTTACCTGTAAAGGTGAAGTGAGGTATTTAGGATAGTGCCTGGCATGTGGTATTTAATAAATGCTAACTATTACAATTATTAAACTTAGGATCAGGGCACTAGATTTTTCTCAGATCTTAAAACTGAAGAGCCTGGATAAAGAAAGGGGACCAGGGCTACTTTAGGTCCAGCTGTCAGCTCCTTCATACAAATGGAAGGAAGCTAGATTCTTCACCTTAGAAGTCCTATCTATTTCTCTGAATCACACATTTCTACCTCTAGTCTCAAATCTGATAAAACTTGGGGCCAAGGAAAAGGTATGACCTTGCACTGTATTGCCCTAACACTGTGACAATAAGCATCAGACAGAGGAAAACTGGCTACTTCTTATCAATATCTTTGGGTAAGAAAATCAGCTACCCAAAGAAAAGCAGACCAGAATTCTTATCATGACAGGGCTTCCATTCTGCTTAAACCATGCAATTTACAGGATAGTGGCTCATAACTAGGCCCTCGGTACTCACATTCCCTCGGGTTGCCAGTGTATATCCTCTTCTATTCGTAACAGTTCTTCACAGTCTTCTGCCCTATCCTGTGGAAAGAACACATGGGTTTTCTGATAGCCACTGGCCATCAACAGTCACAGTCAAACCCTGACCAAGCCCATGTTCATAGCAGTACTATTCACAATAGGCAAAATATGAAAACAACCCAAGTGTCCCTCAATGAATGAATGAATAAACAAAGTGTGGTCAATACATACAATGGAATATCATTCAACCTTAAAAAGGAAAGAAATCCAAGACCTGCTACAAAGCAGAGGAATCTTCAGGACATTGTGCTAAGTGAAATAAGTCAGTCACAAAAAAAATACTATATGACTCCACTTTTATGAGGTACCTAGAATAGTCAAATTTATAAAGATAGAAAGTAGAATGGCAATTGCGAGTGGCTTGGGAAGGGGAAGGTTTGGGGAGGTAGTATTTAATGGGTGAAGTGTTTCAGTTTTACAAGATGAAAAGAGTTCTGGAGATGGATGGTGGTGATGGCTGCACAATAACATGAATGTGCTTAACATCACTGAATTTTACACTTAAAAAATGTCTAGGATGATAAGTTTATGTTATATTTATTTTACCATAATTAAAGATAAAATTTTAAAAAGAAAACCTAGAATAGGACCACAATACTTGTTAACTTACTGTCAAAAATTTAAAACATAATTCCTTACTGCTGTCTTAGCACCTCCTGATGTCCAAAGATTCTTCTGTTGGGCTTGTCAGTCACATGAGAAAGCATTCTGGCATTTGTAAGAGGAGAAAGGTGTGTGTGTGTTTCGGAAAAAATAATGTATAAAATACTTAACAACAGAAAATGCCTCAAATGACATCTAATAGGCTTCATATATGCAACATCCAGATTTCACTGAAATTCCTGCCCCCCACCTCCCTGATTATTTTCTCAAAGAAACATTGGTGGGAGTATTGGAAAGGTGTGTCCCACTGTTGGAACTTCTGGGTGCTTCTTTCTACTTTCTTCTCTGACACAGAGAAATGCTACTTTTGCTCAGCCAACAGCTAGAACAGAAGCCACCCTGAATGAGTGTATGTTTCTCTGACAAGGAAGGAACAACAACCAAAAGGACTGTTTCCTGCTTCAAGGTTCTGACACGTTGTTAACTCAGGCCCAGCCAATTCTCCAGATGTGTCACTGAGAACAAGTCTTCTTCCAAAGAGGTGGCTTGCCACCTGATGCCAGTCTCTGGCTTGAAAAATACTCAGACATTTTCTATATTGACTATACTTTTAGTGCATAATAAAGTCAACATATAAATTATTGTGCCACACTATCAAATGATAGTGACATTCATGGGAGAAAATACACTACCATACATGACCGAGAAAACATGTTCATATCTTTTCTTGTTGGGCTTCAACTACAAGAGCCATGGGTATTTCCTTCTAATTTTAAGTTTCATAATAAAAAGTAGCCAATAGTATGAAATATTGGTTTTCCTTGTAGTATGCAAAATAGGTCTTACTGGGTTTCTTTTGCTAAGTTAGACAGTTACATAGTTGATCTTAATTATTTGAAAATTCCATATTTATAAATTTGCCTACACAATAAAATTTACTTGTAACCCTGAAATCAATACTCGTGGTGCTCTAGAGTTATTCGCAGGCCTGCTGAGAACTGTGAAAAATCCTGAGTTCCCGACATGCACAGTTCCAGCTGACAATGAGCAAGGAAACCCTCCACCTTCTTGTTTCAGGTGTCGTAGTGTAAACAAGTGTCCTTTAGAGTATAGTTAGTGCAACATTTTCACATTTTTGTGCTTTTTTGGGGTGGTTTTGCTGTATACAATGCTCCCAAGCAAGGTGCTGAAGTGTGGTCTAATGTTCCTAAGCACAAGAAGGCTGTGATGTCCCTTAACAGAGAAAACATGTTAGACAAACTTCATTTAGCCATGAGTTGGTGGTGTGGGCTACAAGTTCAATGTTAATTAATCAACAAAACATATTAAATAAAGTGTTTTTAAATAGAAACACACATAAATACAATAAAATCCATTAAACACAATAAGCAAGGTTAAGTATTGAACATTTGACAGGGAACCTAACTCTATATTTATACTTTGGAGCAATGGCTCAGTATTTGATAATTCAGTGTTTTGAGGTGACTTTATACAACAAAGCTACCGAGAATAATGAGGATCAACTGTAGTTACAAAAACAAAAGATGCTAATTCAGTGAAGGAGAGAAAACAGGGTTATATAAAGCACAACTCTGGCTCCTCAAGGACTGAGTGGTCAGCACATTGTTGGCTGTCATGTACACTCAGGTTTTTAAAGGGATGCAAGTCAAGGCTGAAAGAGGGCTGGTTTTCAATGTATGACTTTTCATTTTAGATTTAGTTTTATTTTACTAGTAGTAGTTCTTTGCTCAAGTTTCCAAGAGAAGCCTCTTGTAGGAGCGGACATTTGCAGAATAGGTTTCTACATCCCTATTTACTCCCCTAGACCAGCCGTGGGCAAACTACGGCCCGCGGGCCGGATCCGGCCAGTTTGAAATGAATAAAACTAAAAAAAAAAAAAAGACCGTACCCTTTTATGTAATGATGTTTACTTTGAATTTATATTAGTTCACACAAACACTCCATCCATGCTTTTGTTCCGGCCCTCCGGTCCAGTTTAAGAACCCATTGTGGCCCTCGAGTCAAAAAGTTTGCCCACCTGCCCTAGACTCTACCCTCAGGGTCCATTCTGTAGAGCAGCCATTTCTACAAAGGAAAGCCCTTTGCTTCCTAAAATCTCTGAATCTAGGGAAATTTGCTTTTGTGAAACAAAATGCTTTATTTTACTAACTGCTTTGATTGTTTTCCTTCAGGGTTTCCATTTTTACTTTAGATTTTCAACTTAAGATAAACTCTTCATAAAATAAAGATGAAAGCCCACTTTTCCATATTTTATGACAGGCTTATTCCAGAACTAATAGGGGTCAAATCTGGGAGAACCTTGTGAAAACTACTGGCCTCAGAGCAATACCGTTAGATTTGCACTGTAGGAGAATGGCTGGCGGCAGAACAAGTGTGTGCGCACACGCATGTGCATGCAGGGGGCAGGACGTTGAGTGAGAAGTTTGGGTAGGTGGGACTCTTGCAGTCATCAGAATTAGAAATGATAAAATTTAACTAAAGCAATGTCAATAGAGGTAGAGGGCACAAATGAGGCAGTGGCTGTGAGATATTTTGAAACAAGAATTGATGGATTAGATATAAAGAGTTAGGTATTTCTGTGTTTCATCCTTCTACAGGCATACCTCGTTTCATTGCATGCCACTGTATTGAACTTTGCAGATATTGGATTTTTTTTTATAAATGGAAGGTAAGACTCTCCACTAGGAAAAAGATTATGACATACTGAAGGCTCAGATGATGGTTACAACTTTTTAGCAATAATGTATTTTTAAATTAATGTATATACATTTTTTTCAAAACAATGCTATTGCAAACTTAATAGACTACAGTATAGGGTAAACATACTTTTTATATGCACTAGAAAACCACAAAATTCATGTGACTCACTTTATTGAATTATTTGCTTTATTGCAGTGGTCTGGAACCAAACCCAAAATATCTCTGAGGTATGCCTGTATATAACTTCTTAAAATCATCTTAGTTTCTACAAATGTAAGTACTATGTCAGGTTCTTTATTTTTGTCTTGAGAGCATAAAGAACTCTTGAGTACACCAGGGTATTTACTATACAGTGTAAATTCACAATTTTCCTCACAGTTCCCTTGGAGGTGATGGCCACAGACATTAGTTTAGACAGACTCCAGCCATCCTAACACAATTCTCAGGAAATAAGGATGTGCTCTTAGAGACCCCATGCTTGGCTTTAGCACATTAACTCAAAGACCACCATCTCTCAGAAGCCACAAATCTGAATTTTACCAAATGAATCATCCTTGCATTCTTCAGTGCCACAACCTGAACCAAAAAAACTGGCAGAAACATACCAAGGCACTTAATCACGTCTCCAAGTGAAACCTTAACTACCAGCTTCAGTAAAAGGCTAGTTTTCCTCTCTTCTTTTTGCCGCCACTATGATGAAGCTTAGCAACTTCATCCAACCTTTCAACACCTCACTGTAACTACAATGGTTCTGGAACAAGTGTCCTCAGAGTGAACTCCCAAAAAGGGAAGACATTCATTTCCAGATCCTGAAAGTCTCCATTTTTCTCTTTATACTGTGGACATCTCCCAAGAAAAGTATTCACCTACAATACATTGAAGAGAATGTGAAATTTGTTTAGTTTGCCTTTTACTGAATGGTAATGGGCAACTCTGACATTTGCTAATGAATACAATGCACTGAATAGTGGCAAGATGAGTAATTTCTGAATTCAAAAGAAAACCATATACATATGCCAACAAATGAAAAGGTATGTATGGGAGGGACTGGCTCCTAATGTCAGAAAATCAATACTGAGGCCCTGGTGGGGTAGCTCAGTTGGTTAGAGCATCCCAATGTGACAAGATTGAGGGTTCGATTCTCAGTCAGGACACTACAGGAATGCAGAAAACAACCAGTGAATGCATAAACAAGCGGAACAATAAATTGGTGTCTCTCTCTCTCTCCTCTTCTCCCTCTTCTTCTCCCTCTAAAATCAATCAATTTTACAAAAAAAGAAAAATATGCTGAGCTTTGAGAAGATGTTATAAAGGTGGCAGTAAGATGACATTTAAGGTGATGCATTGGTAACCTTGAATCAAACAGAAGTAAATAAATAAAAAAATTAGTTGATCCTCAACTTGCCTTAATATAATTTATAAATTCCGAGTGGAGAACATCTGTTCCATGGGTAAATTGGTCTCTTTCTTCTCCAGAGTTGTCATTGTCACCAAGGGAAGGCTTTGATCGAAATTCCTGATGAAAGTCCCCTATTAGAAAAAAATAGACAGACAGAAAGCATGATTTCACAAACTGATGAACAAAGTACAGATTACCCTGAAATGTATCATCTAATCATTTCAATTTTCTCTCTTACCTTTTAAGGAGGTATATGACCCAAGTTTTCTCTTCCCTGAATGATGTAAGGAAAAGATAAAAGAAGAAAGAAGAGAAAGAAAGCAAAAGTAACAGAAAGCCACAAACTAAATTTAAGAGTTAAAAGCTTCTACAGTGGGGCCTTGACTAACGAGTGTCCCGACTAACGAGTTTTTTGAGATACCAGCTGTCTCTGGGCCGATTTTTTGCATTGAGTTGATAGAGTAATTTGAGTTAACGAGCTCCTTAATGAGCTAGGTCTCAGAACAAATTAAACTCATAAGTCAAGGCCCCACTGTATATGGCTTTGTTTCTTTTGAAAGAAATGAGTATGATTAAAAATGGTGGAGGAGTAAGTGGATGCTGCATGAACACGCTCCCAGGACCAAACTGGATTTACAACTAAATTACAGAAAAACTTCCAGACTAATCAACGGAAGACTCACTGGAGAGAACCCTGATAACCAAGGATGGAAAGTGGAGGCTGCATAGACACTGGTAGGAGGGTGGAGGCGCAAGAAGGCTGGCCGGGCTCCCACAGGCAGCAGCTGAAGTTCCAGAGAGATATCTCAGCTGTGGGAGGTTCCCATTGAGAACTCTGGGGTCTAATCTCCAATCTGGGCTGCACCAGAACTGAGAAAGTGGCCCACATAACATCTGATTGTGAAAAGCAGCAGGGTTGCTGTCTGCCAGGGAGAGATGGCTGGAAATGCAGGCACCCTCTTAAAGGACCAACACACAAAATTCCCTATGTAGCCATTCACCTTGTGCTCCAGCAGAGGGAGGGTGGAGTGGACTAGAGCTATGTGAGCAGAAGCCAGGTTTGGGGGCTCTGGGGTAAGAGCTCAGAAGACAGACACCCTGGTTTCCTGTGCTGAGTCATTCCCTCACACTGTGGAGGTCATCTTTCTCACTCAGACAATTGCTATCTAGGCGGTTTTGCCTGGGGTGTGGGGGTGGGGGAGGGGGGGTGTTGACAGTTGACTCACCCTATTGGAAAAAAATCCTTTCCCCAAGGTGTGGAGTTTCTGAGGCCCATTAAGAGACTGAGAATAACAATTAGCCTCCAGGTAGAAGCAATTGCACCATCCAGTTGGGAAAAACTCTTGCCACAACTGTGGATGATTGCCTGAGGGCTATTCAAGACTAAATCAAATCAGACTGCAAGCAGAGGCGAACTCTGGGGACTTTGAGTCTTTGCCTGATCTCATTACACAAAAACAGTGTTTGACACTGTCCTGCACTAAAGAATGAGAGAGGCATAGAAGATCTACCTAATATATAGTCACAAAACCAAACAGGCACCCAAAATGAGGAGACAAAGAAACAACTCCCAAATGAAAGAACAAGAGAATTCTCCAGAAGAAGAGATAAATGAAATGGAGATAAGAAACTTATCTGAAAAAGGGTACAGAATAATGATGGTAAAGATGCTCAACAGCATGAGAAAAGATATAGTAACTATGAAAACAGAAATAAAGGATGACATAGCACAAATAAAGAACACATTGGAAGGAATACACAGCAGAATAGGGGAAGCTGAGGATCGCATCAGTGAATTAGAAGACAGGGTAGAAAAAAATCACTCAACCAGAGAACCAAAAAGAAAAAAATTTAAAAACAGAAGGCAGCTTAAGGAATCTGTGGGACAACATGAAACTTCAACAATATTCGCATAGGGAATGGCATGAAGTACGCAAGGTAATGGAAAGCAAGGATCTGAAACCAAGATTACTATATCCAGCAAGGCTATCATTCAAAATAGACAGTGAAATAAAGAGCTTCCCGAACAAAAAAAAAAGGCTAAAGGAGTTTATCACCACCAAGCCAGCATTACAAGAAATGCTAAAGAAACTGCTGTAATGAGAAGAAGAGAGAGAAAAACCTAGGCATACAGAATTAAAATGGCAATAAATAAGTACCTATCAATAATAACCTTAAATATAAATGGATAAAATCTCCAATCAAAAGACATAGTATAGATGAATGGATATGAAAGCATGACACAACTATATGCTGTCTACAAGAGACCCACCGCAGAAGAACAGACTCACATAGGATGAGAGTGAAGGGATGGGGAACAACATTTCCATGCAAATGGAAAAGAAAAAAACCTGGGGTAGCAATATTCATATCTGACAAAATAGATTTCAAAATAAAGGTCACCAAAGAGACAACAAAAATCACTACATAATACTAAAGGGATCAATCCAATAAGAGGATATAACCCTAGTAAACATAGATGCACCCAATATACGAACATCTAAATATACATAAAAAACTTCTAGAGGACTTTAAGGGAGAGAGAGACAACAATATAATCATAGTAGGGGACTGTAATACCCCACTGACTTCAATGGATAGAACTTCTAGACAAAAAATTAACAAGGAAACAGTGACTCTAAAAGACATAATGGAACAGATGAATTTAACATTTCACCCCAAAGCTGCAGAATATACATTCCTCTCAAATGTACATGGGTCATTCACAAAGATAGACCACATGTTAGGACACAAAAAAAGTATATACAAGTTCAAGAAAATTGAAATCAAATCAAGCATCTTCTCAGATCACAATGGGATGAAATTAGAAATCAACTACAATAAAAACATCCCAAAACATTACAACACATGGAGGCTAAATAGCATGTCAAGAAAGAAATTAAAAAACAAATGAAAATGAACACACAAGCCAAAACCTCTGGGACACAGCAAAAGCAGTCCTGAGAGTGAAGTTCATAGCACTATAGGCATACCTCAAAAAAAAAAAAAATCAGCAATAAACTATTTAACCCTACAACTTAAAGAACTAGAAAGAGAGCAATGAAAAAAGCCCAGAGTAAGTAGAAGCAAGGAAATAATAAAGATTAGAGCAGAAATAAATGACATACAGACTAAAAAAATATATGAAAAATCAATGAAACCAAGAGCTGGTTCTTTGAAAGGATAAACAAGATTGACAAACCATTAGCCAGACTCATCAAGAAACAAAGACAGAAGTCCCAAATAAATGAAATCAGAAACACAAATGAAGAAGTAACCACTGACACCACAGAAATACAAAAGATTGTAAGAAAATACTATGAACAACTATATGCCAATAAGTTGGACAATGTGGATGAAATAGACAAATTCCTAGAAAAATACAATCTCCCAAAACTGAATCAGGAAGAATCCGAAAACCTAAATCGGCCAATAGCAACTGATGAAATAGAAGCAGTAATTAAAAAAAACTCCCAGCAAACAAAAGCCCAGGTCTGCATGGTTTTACAGGGGAGTTTTACCAAACTTTCAAAGAAGGACTAACACCTAAACTCCTCAAATTATTCCAAAAAATCCAAGAGGAGGGAACACTTCCAAGCTCTTTTTATGAGGCCAGCATTATTCTAATTCCAAAACCACATAAAAACACTAAAAAGAAAGAGAATTATAAGCCAATATCCCTGATGAACATAGATGCTAAAATCCTCAACAAAATATTAGCAAATTGGATCCAGTAATACATTAAAAAGATCATACACCATAACCAAGTGGGATTTAGTCCATGGATGCAAAGCTGGTATATTTGCAAATCAATAAACGTGACACATCACATAAACAAACTGAAAGATAAAAATCACATGATCACATCAATATCAATTGATGCAGAAAAAGCATCAACAAAACACAGCACCCTTTTTTGATAAAAACTCTCAGCAAAGTGGGAATAGAGGGATCATACCTCAACAAAATAAAAGCCTTGTATGACAAAATAAATCATCAACAAAATGAAAAGGGAGCACACTATATGGGAGAACATATTTGGCAATGATACATCTGATAAAGGGTTAATATCCAAACTATATAAGGAAGTCATACAACTTAGCAAAAGGAAGACAAACAATTCAATTAAAAAATGGCCAAAGACCTGAATAGACACTTCTCCAAAGTGGACATACAGATGGCCAAGAGACATCAAAACATGCTCAAAGTCATTGATCATCAAAGAGATGCAAATTAAAACGATAACGAGGTATCACTTTACACCTGTCAGAATGGCTACCATCGACAAATCAACAAATGACAAGTGCTGGCGAGGATGTGGAGAAAAGGGAACCCTAGTACATTGCTGGTAGGAATGCAGACTAGTGCAGCCATTATGGAAAACAGTATGTAGCTTCCTCAAAAAATTAAATATGGAACTGCCATTTGACCCAGTGATCCCACTTCTAAGAATATATCCTAAGAAACCTGAAACATCAATTAGAAAGAATGCATGCACTCCTATGTTCATAGCAGCAAAATTTATAACAGCTAAGATCTGGAAACAGCCCAAGTGCCCATCAGTAGATGAGTGGATAAAAAAGCTGTGGTACATTTATACCATGGAATTCTATGCAGCAGTAAAAAGAAGAATCTCTTACCCTTTGAGACAGCATGAAGGGACCTGGAGAGTATCATGCTAAGCAAAATAAGTCAGTCAGAGAAAGACAAGTATTACATGATCTAACTCATGTGAGCGATACATTATACAAAATAAACTGATGAATGGAGTGGATCCAGAGACATGGAAGCATGGAAGAGAGTGTGGATTCTGGGCAGGAAGGCAGGGGATGTAGTTGTGTGGGGGGTAATCAACCAAAGACCTTGTATGCGTATATGCATAACCCATGGACATAGACAATAGGGTGGTGAAGGCCTTGGACAGCGCTGGGTTGGAGGGAGTAAATGGGGGGGGGGGGCATTTGTAATATTTTCAACATAAAGATTTATTTTTAAAAAAATCAAATTCCATCTTAGGCTTTTAAAAAAAATCATATATGAGCATTTATTCTAATAATGCTGGCAGTGTGGGAGAGCAGTAGGTCATCCACAAAAATCTGCTCTGCTCACTTCTTATGTTTTTCTTTTTTTCTATTTTTTTAAATAGATTTTTATTGATTTCAGAGAGGAAGGGAGAGGGAGAGAGAGAGACAGAAACATCAATGATGAAAGAGAATTATTGATTGGCTGCCTCTTGCGTGCCCCTCATTGGGGATCGAGGCCCCAACCCTGGGCATGTGCTGACTGGGAATCGAACCCTGACTGCCTAGTTCATAGGTTGACACTCAACCACCAAGCCACGCCGGCCAGGCATGTCTTACGTTTTTAAGGAACAAAGAAAAGAAAGTATAAGAGAGCTTTTGTGTTCTAAATCATGTGTGATGAGTAAATATTTCAAATTCAAAATTCATCAAATACTTACTGAGCAACTACTAAATGTCAGGTATGCTAAACATTGTAGAAATTAAAAAGCTAGTCAAACCTGACTCATGGTCCTTAAGTAGCAAACAATCTCAAGAAAGAGTGTGGGAATAAACTAAAACAAGAACCTAACATTCTAACAACAAAATATGTGACTATGGCAGGGGCCACATAGGGAGGAAAGCACTCTCAGAGCACATCCAACTAGGCTGTGTTCCACTCTGCAATCCAGAGGGTGAAGGGGAGGCAAAAGGAGCACCAATGTTTTCTCTCTGATCTGAAGACTAAAAAGGACCAGGTAGGACCACCATGAAGGACTCCTGGCCAGCAGAATACTCACTTCTACAACAGATGGGAAAAACTCACTGCCAACAAATTATATATATATTTTTGAATTTGCCTGAAACACTATCTGCTATCCTGCATAATGTAATAAAACTTATCTAAATCAATGAAGTGGCAATTATATTTTTGCATAAAGTTTACAGTTATAGTTTTGGACAATATATGGTTCCAATCATTATCTCAGATCAATAAATGCTAAACTTAAGTCCTCACTTAAAAACCTAAATGTAAAAAGTGAAAGCAAACATTAAAGTTTGAGTAACTTTAAATGGCTCACTCGTCACTAAAGAAAGCATATTCAAACTATTAGGTAAATAATCTGCATATTAATTTAATTCTATACTAGTCATACATCATGAAATAGTCTCTGTCACAAATTAGTAAACACTAAATTTTAGTATTTTCTTTAAAAATCACTGAATAAACAGGAGCAGCCTAAATACTGCCATAATGTAATCAAACGAGGGCTTCATGAGTGGGGCTTTCTGGGGTCCTGGTAAAGTCCTGTTTCTTGAACTGGGAGCTGGTAATATGGTTCACTCTGTGAAACACACCAGTAAGATATGAAATATATTACTAGTATTTTGAAAGTATGCAGGACATCATTTGATATTATCAAAGAACCATAGAATTTTAAAGCTATAGAAGCAGTTAAAGATTACCTAATCTAATCATCTAATCACTTACAGGTGAGAGAATTAAGGTCCATTAACTTGTCCAAAGTCAAGCTGGGGGATACAACTCAACTACATCTCCAACCCTCACGTGTAGTTAGCTGTGGCCATACAACCAAGACTAGGGTATAAGTGCTGGCTGCTCCCCCTAGGCCCAGTCCATAAAAACTTCCTATGAGCAAATCTCCATGTGCTCCCCCTTCTGTTGTGAAACAGAAGGATTCAGAAACTTTGGAAGTCTTATGTTAAAGAGAGTGAAATCTCAGCATGATAGAAGCTTGGGTCCTTGAATCACCACTTGGAGGGCAGTTGCCTGTCAATCACAACTCCTATTTGAACTTAATTTGGATTGTGTTAAACCAATGAGATTTGGGGATTTTATGTATTACAATAGAGTTATCCTAAGTAATATATCTACATTTATTTTCTTTCAAATAATGAATTTAAAGAATCCATATAAATCTTCAGAATGAGAACAGCTTCACTATTTACTAGCTGCATGACCACTGGCACATTACTTAAACTCTCTGAGCCTCAGTTTCCTCTATAAAATTGAGATAATTAGGAGTATCCACTTTAGAGTTTTGAAGTTTCAATGAGATCATCTTCACAGATTAGCACAGTACCTGGTGCATAGGAAATGTGCAATAAAAGTTAACTATTATTATTGCCATATGTGTGCATATTGTAAACACAGCATTTTAAACTTAAAAAAACAAGCACTTTCTCCCCGTCTTTCATTCTCAGACCTTTTATGGGACTAAGGTGATGGCATGAGTCCTCCTTGATGATCTGTTCTTCTTCCATGATATTTGACATTGGAACATTAAGGCTAACAGTGTCTTCATCAGAAGGCTAGAAAGAAACAAGGCACTGCTTCATTCAAGGAGAAGTGTTATCATGTAGATTAAGAGAATGCTATATGGTTAAAAAAAACAAGAGTGTTTTTAATATTGAGTAAAAGACACCAGATACAAAGGACAATTCATTTACATAAGTTTAAAAACAGGCAAAACTAATCCATGGTATTGAGGTCAGGATAGTGGCTGCTCTTGGGTGAGTGGGTGGGCACATGAGTGGGGCTTTCTGGGGTCCTGGTAAAGTCCCGTTTCTTGAACTGGGAGCTGGTAATATGGTTCACTGTGTCAAATTTATTGAGCTAACACTCATATACTTCTCTGTACATGTTTTGAGCTGAAATGTGACCAAGTGCCTGGCGATATTTGCTAACCTAAGAGCCATAGTCAGAGTACTAAGAAGGACTGTGCAACACCTGACAGAACAAAGGAATACTTGCAAATATGTCACCACAGGAGTCCTACATCGAATCAACCATTTTAACAGTGACATTACTGTGAACTCTGACAACACTAATTTACCAAAACTCCATTAAGATTTCATGTGGCTCATCACAGAAAGCAGACAGTCAACCTCTGTGACAATATCTCATTTATTTACAGTGCACTTTACGTGCTTTATAAATTAAGCTTCAGTTTATTTCCCTGTTTTAGGATGAGGCTGCTACATTAAATATATAAAAGTGCTAAATGATTTTGTGCAATTTTTGGAGTAACACTGCAATTTGGTAATTGGAGTAAGTTTTCTGTGGGAGTATTGTTTCCCATACCAGTTGATGAAGTTTACTCAGAAAATGTCTGATTCTATTACAAATAGAGGCCCAGTCCCTCAGCCCAGCCTGAACCCTCTCCAAGCTGGGACCCTCGGGGGATGTCCGACTGGAGGGATCGGGCCCGGGCCTAAACCGGCAGTCGGACATCCCTCTCACAATCTGGGACTGCTGACTCCTAACCACTCGCCTGCCTGATTGCCCCTAACCGCCTCTGCCTACCAGCCTGATCCCCCCCAACCTCTCCCCTGCAGGCCTGATTGACGCCTAACTGCTCCCCTGATGGCCCAATCGCCCCCAACTGCCCTCCCCTGCCAGCCCGATCGCCCCCAACTGCCCTCCCCTGCCAGCCCGATCGCCCCCAACTGCCCTCCCCTGCCAGCCCGATCGCCCCCAACTGCCCTCCCCTGCCGGCCTGGTTGCCCCCAACTGCCCTCCCCTGCAGGCCCAGTCACCCACAACTGCCCTCCCCTTCTGGCCCGTTCACCCACAACTGCCCTCCTCTGCCGGCCATCTTCTGATGGCCATCTTGTGACGATGTGGGGCAGCCATCTTGTGGTGATGACATGAGGACGTTGCACGAGGGCGTAAGGGCTACCTAGGCTTTTATTAGTATAGATGTCTCTACCTCAGTGTTATTACTTAGTGAAGTTTTCCAAATCACAAGGACCAGGAACCTCACTTCAGCTGATTTTGGCTTGCTCCTAAATTTCTGAGGCTATGACTTTCGTACAATGTTCATTTACTTTTGGACATGTACACAAATTGTTTAGAAACTAGCAGAAAATAAATGTGCATTTCCTTCATTAAACAGATGTTCAATGAGATCCCAATTTTTTGGCTTGTTTATCTTGAGAAAAATGTGTTTTTAACTTCTTACTGACAAATGCTAAAGCAATCAGATAATGGCAATAGCAATAAAGGAAACCAGGTGTGATCCTTGAACCCCACAATGAGATATAAATGGGGAGCAAGATCACCTGACCATAGACCAGGGGTGGGCAAACATTTTGACTCGAGGGCCACAATGGGTTCTTAAACTGGACCGGAGGGCCGAAACAAAAGCATGGATGGAGTGTTTGTGTGAACTAATATAAATTCAAAGTAAACATCATTACATAAAAGGGTACGGTCTTTTTTTTTTTTTAGTTTTATTCATTTCAAACGGGCCGGATCCGGCCTGCGGGCCGTAGTTTGCCCACGGCTGCCATAGATGGTAACATATTGCCAAACAAAGTGAAAACAAAAGACTACAATGGTTAATTCAGAACCTTTATCATTCTAAAAAAACAAAATTTTGTTGGAGGTATCCTCAGGTAATGAGGCTACCATGTGAGAATTGTGCTTCTTATTCTATTGAATGTAATCTTTATAATCCTTCTTTCTTCCACCCTCCTCCCATCTAAAAACTCAGCAAAATTCCAAAGATATACATCTAGTTAAAAAGGAGAGAATAAACTCTTGACTTCCTCTTTTAGAATATTACCATCCTACTTATACTAAGTGAGAACAGAAGGATAATGAAGTTCATTGTGCAATGTTTCATTAATGAACTTAATTATCCTTAGAAGGCAGGTAAGGATAAAGCAGAGTCTATTTTAATTTATTAGAAATAAGCTTAGGGTGAGTAATTTCTAAAACAAGGGGGCATTTCAGGAGACTTAGGAGTTTTAATAAAGCTAAGGGGGTTGAATTAAATACAACTTATAAAGCAATGTGTTGAGTATTTTCTCCCCCAGGGAACCATAGTAAACTATTCACATGGCTCCATGACAGTCATTTTTCTTTTATTAACATGGCCTTTTTTCTGCCTCCTAATTCTTCTTCCTTTTGAAATATTCTAAGTATCCTAGTTTTTTTTTTAATACACTGCTTTATAAAGCATTTTTTAAAATAAATTAAAATACCTTAGCTATACATTACACTCAAAGGTCTGACAAGAACAGGAATAGGCATTTTTCCTAGAATCACACCACATATAATTAAAACATAGATTCCTTAGATGGGGTAATTGGCCTATTAATTATATCTTCAAAGAGGATTATAATGTCTCAAACTCTACAACCACAGAAACTCAGTAAGTTCCCTCACCAAGGGAAGATCTGATGCTACATCATGCTTACTCCACCTAGCCCTTCTACCTCCCCAGGTCAAGAAGCCCCATTTAATGGTATGCTAGTGAAAGATTTGGGGAAATCCAACAGACTATGAATGAAATAATAATTGTGCTAAATAAGCTATTTTACCACCACTTGAGGAAGCTCTAGTGTTAGAGGCCTCCTTAGCTTACAAATAATTAAACTTTTTACCCAATGATCTAAAAAGAGTTCCAGGAAACAAATACTGCAATAAAAGCTATGGCTATTCATAAAAGCATTTTCTTGGGGTAAACTGCTAAAATGCAATGTACATTTTGATTCCTGAACATTTATGCATGCATATAACAATGTTTTCCTAAATTGCTCTGTCATTTAAAAACAATAATTTATCAAAAATGCCTCATGGATACTTGCACATCACTTAGTCATTTCATAATATTTATTAAGCATTCAAGAATATTCCAGAAAATGTGTGTGGGGGGAGGGGAAGGAGATAGGAATCCTACTCCTGAGACATTTGCAAAATATTAAAGATTTAGAAATAGCTAATATTTATATAATACTTGGAGGATTTCAAATTGCTTTCACAAACATTATCACATATTCCTATGCAGAGGGTTAATGCCTTTTTACCAGAAAAGAGTTTGATAAGTGTAGCAGATCTATCTAGAAGCAGGGAAAGAAAAAAAATCAGGAACAGATCACGAAATTTACCTCTGTGGCCGATAATCGCTTATCTCCATTATCACTTCCAACGCCTGAATCAGAATCCTTCTTGCTGAGATAGATGCCATCAATATTGAATTCATATAAAGAAATTAAAATCACAAAGTTCACAAGATACGTCAATTTATATTCAAATAATGAGTTTGCTATAGAAATTGTTATTATTATGACAAGGCAGCAAATCAGTTCCGTATTAAAGGATGTTAAGACAAGGGCCTAATGAAAACCAGATACTTATACTGTCTAAATGGAGCACAAAATAAATTCTTTGTGTTCAGGGTTTCATGGATTTACACTTTAATCAAGTAATTTTTTTTTGAAACAGTTAACAATTTTCTTATTTTACTGATTCTAGCATATAAAAAAAGAAAAAAAAAACCCTAATTGCTTTTACATCTTATGTTTTGAAATGTTGGTAATCTTGAATAACTCTGTAAACTTTAATCCAGTGACTAAATTTGATGGCATGTTTTAAAAAATAAGGAATACATATTTTAAGCAGTATATAAAAGTTCCACTAGGGTAGTCTGAGATTTTAAGTCCCTAGTTCTCTTTTTTAATAAAAAGTTAAGGAAAGATTCCTGCAGTGAAGACTTCTCAAAAACAATCTGTGTTTTGTAAGTGTTCAGTGTGGGAATTTCATTCTCCAAAAATTCAAGGCCTGATTTATGCCAACAAAAGGCCAAGGACATGTGAAAGGATTCTAACACTTCCATTCTAAACAGGAAATGGCAAACTATGCATTCTGCATTCTAAAAAGACAATTAAGAAAAATAAAACCTGCAATTTTTCTTAACAATGTTCCAGGGGCATATTAAAAAATAATAATTTAAAAAAGGCTTAATATTGTTGTTTTAATTGATAAGCAAAAGATACTTATGTTTATTTATTTTAATATGTTTTGATTGATTTTTAAAGAGAGAGGAAGGGAGAGAGAGATAACACCCATATAAGAGAGAAGCATTGATCAGTTGCCTCCTGCACAGGTGTCCAACCTACAATTTGGGCTTGTGTCCTGATGGGGAATCGAACTGGTGATCTTTTAGTTCACAGGACATCACTCAACCAACTGAGCCACACCGGCCAGGACCCTATGTTTATATTATAGACTAGTGACCCCGCATGTGAAATCTCGAGAGACCCAGACCCACGGGAAATCGAGCGAGGCCCGGGACCCCAGACCTCGCAGCACCGTGGGACACCCACAGTCAAGTTCCCGCCCACCCGTGCGCTCAGCATCCTGGTGACTGGTCTTTGGTCGTTATGGTGTTAGGGCCACTGGGTTTTTATAATATAGATCATATATCATATATCATGTACCATACACACACAAACACTCACACACACACGAGTGTGCACATACACACAGCACTCAAGAAGGACTGATTTTTGATTAGGAGAGAGTATACAAGACTCGAGAAATGCCAAAATGTTATCAATAACATCAATTTTCTCTTTCCTATTCCAAAAGTTTCTGGAACTCTAAGTTATAAATCTGCATTGGTTGAGTGAAGCAAAAAAATTTTGTTTAATTTAGTTACCTGGAATACCTTGGCCTTGGAAAAGTTCTAAAAGGGGCTTTGAGCCAGGGCAGTCACACTCACCTGTCTTCCACATGCTGGTGTAATTGTGGCCTCTCCATCGTGTGCAGATAAAGAGAGTCAGTTGCTTTAATCTGACAGGCTTGTATGCTCAGATACTTGAATATGTGCACTTTGCCCTTTGTGCAAATCTATGGAGAAATTAATAATACTTATCTATTTTTAATGGCAAAACAAAGTATAAACACTAGATATCTGACTCTGTATATTATAATTTTTGCCTTTTCATTCTAAGAAACGCTTCAACAATGCACACCAAATTTGACCTCTACAAAACATATAAAAATTTAGGCAGTAATTTCCTCCGAATTCCACTTTGAATAGAAAATCATACTCAAGCAATGTAAGTCTTTTTTTAAACTAAAATGCAAAATCCTAACAGAAATGTGTTTAAGTATAAATATATGAAAAATATAGAAGTCAGCTAACTGACCTGAAAAAATTTCAATTCTGGAAGCATATATATTTCATTTTTTTCCTTATAGCTTAATATTTGAACTTGAACCTTGTCTCTAAATAACCAATAATTATATTTCAAAATACTTAAGCTCCATTTTCCAGCTAACATTAAAATAAGGACTATATTAATTTTTTACTCCATGAAAAAGTTTCAAATATATGTACAAATAATAAAATAATCAAACATAATTCTGGATTGCAGCGATCAGAATAGTGAGCCCAATGCTGGCAAATGAACTTGGCGTAGAGAAGACAACTTATTGTAGTCAGATGCACCCAAGGTTTCATATTTTTAGAGACTGTAACTGCTTATGATCATGTCTAATGCAACATTAAATCAGCAGAATATTAACAAACTGGCTCTGGCAAGAGTTGCCTGAGCACATTGATAGCATATCCCACATATCTTTGCCAGACCCCTCACCTGTGCTGGAGGAGACTGCAAAGGGTTATTTTCAAGTAGTAATATTTGCAGCTGCTTCATCTCTCTAAAACAAATGGGAATCACGAGCACTTTATTGCAGGAAAAGTCAAACTTTACCAAGGGAAGATCTACTAGTTCTAAAGGAACAGAAAAAAGAGAAAAAAGAAGAAAAAGAAAAAAAAAACTCAGAAAAGCAACAAGATTAAATGGCCAAACATTCAGCAATTTATTTTCTGCTTATCAGTAGAAATGTCATTTAGCACAATCAAAAGCAAGTTGTTCATTAGGAATATATAATATTTGCATAGATATATTTTAGCAAAGGGGAGGGGAAACCTTTCATTGGGAGTCCAATACATTTGAATTGTTGTTAGTTCTGAGAAGAGCTGAAAATACGTGATATTTACAATATTTATTGTTTAAAATGCTTTTATCCTCCCAGCAAAACAATCACATAAGTCACACCACACAGAATATGTTTTAACTCCAAAATGTTTTCAAGCAGTACTATGGTAGGCAGTTAGACAGGAGCAGAGCAAGAATGATGGGCCAGGTAGAGAAGGTCACCAGTGTGCAAAGCCTCCCCCCCCAACCCCCACTCCCAGGCCTAGCAATGGATAATTGTAGGGTGGGACCTTGCCCCCAGGGTGACCTTTCCTCCCTTAGCATAGGACTTGTCATGTGGTTTAGAACCCCTGACCTTCCCTCCCTAGAGATAACATCTAGATTTCAGTTGCATTTCAGCTCCGGGCCCAGATAAGTAACAAAACTAGACAAGCAACTCCATGGCAGACCTCAGGACCAGCTGAGTTGGATAATGACCCCCAGTCTTGGTGCTGACCAATCAATCAGTGGAAATCCTAACCCTGAAAGGACACACCTGGAACGCTGCTGAATAGCCTATTGAGATCATCCCCTGGGACATCCCCTAAAAATCTCCACCCTTAAATCCCTTAGCATGGAGAACCTAAGGGTTGCTCTTCCTCCTGGGAGCATGCCTGCACCTTTCCCCTTCCTCTCCCTTTACCCCTCCCCACAGACATGTTACCTTTCTCACTTCTAAACTCCAAGGCCCTTCCTTTACCTCCATAACTAGTTTCCTTATCCCATTTCTTCTACAAATTACTTCTTCTACCTCTGTGATTTTCTAAATAAATATTCTCTTGTAGTTTGAGTCTTGACTTTGAATTCTTTCTTAGCCAGAACGCAAGTACCAAGGTTGCTGAACCCAGGTCCGGTCTGAACCCACATGGTGCCATTCTGGACACTGCCAACAGTACTTGATAACATATGAATAATATGCTAATTATAAAATATTCTTATCCATTTAATGTATCAAGGCTGGCATGACCTCAGAAGTAGTTACAAGAAATATGTTCATTTTTTTTAACTCCACTTTAAAAAATAAATGCTATCTAATTCAGAATTTGCAATGAACCCTATAATCCGGATTAGATAGGGCTTTATTCTGCTTAAAAAAAAAAAAAAAGGCTTGGTGCACAAAATTTGTGCACGAGGAGGAGGGGGTCCCTCAGCCCAGCCTGCCCCCTCTCACAGTCTGGGAGCCCTCAGGGGATGTCCTACTGACGACTTAGGTCCCATGGGGAGCGGACCTAAGCCCAGTCTGGCCGCGGAGGCTTGAAGCAGGCGCCCGGTGTGGGTGTGTGTGTGTGTGTGTGTGTGTGTGTGTGTGTGTGTCTGCTGGGAACCTGCCCCCAGCCGCATCTCGGAGGCTCGGAGCAGGCGCCCCTTTGTGTTGACCTCTCAGGCTCGGTGAGAGCCAGGCCCCTCCTCGTGAGCTGGTCATGACTGTGATGGAGTCTTGACCTCATTTGCATATTACTTCCTTTTTTTTAATACCTATATAGATATAGATACAGATACAGATATAGATATTTCTATTGATTTCAGAAAGGAAGGGAGAAGAGAGACAGAAACATCAATGATGAAAGAGAATCACTGATCGGCTGCCTTCTGCACACCCCCAACTGGGGACTGAGCCTGCAACTGGGAATCGAACCTCAACCTCCTGGTTTATAGGTCAATGCTCAACCACTGAGCCACGATGGCCAGGCTTTATTCTACTTTTTAAAAGTCTTCTGTAGCTCCACAAACAAGACAGAACATTATATTTAGCTTAAAATACCCACCCAGTAGCATAGTAAACACTCAGTAATTTCAAGCATTCCAACCGACACTAGCAGCTGCAAGAAACAAGTCAAATATATTCCATACAACAACGAGGCTGAGCCAGGCCAAACATGTAGGTGGCATGGGACAAACCACTAGGATCTCTGCGTCAGAGGCTCCGGAGGGTTCATTTCAAAACAGCCTTGCCACATTTGTTATGGAACCTGGTAAGGGTTGAAACATGGTACTTTCAAATACTCAAGGATTCCAAAGAGGAGGAAGGGCAGAAACTATAAATAGAAGAGGAACCAAAGGCAATGCCCTGGAGTAAGAATTAACACTATTCCTCCTCCCCACCTAGATTGCCCCAGGGTTTTCACTTCTCTAAGCTATATGAACTTTCAAGTTCCACCAAGAGCCACTAGCAACCAGTAAGTATCTCTTCTCCAGAATACTACTCCCTCTGGGTTGAAAAGGACTTTCCTTCTTTCATGCCTTAGTGACTACCTTGTATTAAAGAAAGGAGTCATGGGACTGCAATGCTAAAAATAAGGCAGAAGAACATGGAACTCAGCAGGTCCCAAACTCAGGTCCAAGATGAGCAGCTGGGTTAGAGAACTCAGGAAGTGTACTCTTTAAATTGCCTTGAATTCACTGCTCAAACCCAGCTCTCCCAGCCAATAACAGGATTAATTATTTGCCTCAGCACACACAGTGCTGGTGATTGCCTTGAGGAAAGGGCTTTGAGCAGAAGGAGGTGGAGAAGAGAGGGAGGAACAGTTTGGAATCCAGAAAGTCAAAGAAAAAAAAGGGGAAAGTAAGCTCCTTTTTCACTCATATTTTTTTTCTAAAACATTAGGAATTAGGGGGGTTATTT